TTCAGATGTTGATTTGATCAGCTGTTCAAACGCAAAATGCTTGTAAAGGCATCAAATCACGTTTATAAGACTTTGCGGTTGAAAATTTTTTTTCAACTCTTCCACTTCCCAATGCTATCCAGAGCCTTTTCTCATCATGAAAAATGCATGCAGAGTTTTCAAGGTGCTCAGATAGACAAAACACTTAACACAGGATGTTCCTACCAAGCTTGTCACACATTTGTAATGACCAATTCACACTTCAGACCTCTCCCACCCTTGGAAACAAAAGATATGTTAATGCCCATTCACACCTCAAATTCCTCATGAAGACCCCCTGCCAGGTGACCTTAATGACTCACTCCAGCAGACACCTTCCCACCCTTGGAAACAAAAGAAATGTTAATGAGCAACTCACACCTAGCTAGTGTCAACACATACTGCTGTCTCTGCTTCTACTCTGTGTTTATATCTATGAAAGGGTCTGAAATAGTTAATAATTTACCACTTTCAGTGCATTTTGGGCATTTGGGAGGTTCTCCTGTGCTTATCTATAAAAAACGCTTCTAAACGCAAATGCGCATAAATGCGTTATACAAATGCGGCTAAACAGACGTTTTTTAACCTACGTTTTCCAGCAGTCAGTTTCCATCATTCAGAAACGTCCCGTGTACATGGGGCCCTAATCAGTGTAATTTGTGTACTGCTCCACACCAAAGTGCAAATCGTTCCACCTCTGTGTACCACCACCTGTCTCCACTGACTCTTACCTCCAACACATGAGCTACCATATGGTGAAAGTCAAATTCCTCTTCCCAGTTCACTGGCTTTGGGAAATATTGCAATACTCCCAGCGTTCACTGCTCCATAATCACATACAGACTCCTCCACCCAGGAGGATATAAAGAGAATAAGCGATCTCATAGTGTAATATACAACTGCTCAAGCCTTTATTCATTCAAAGTTAAAATGTTACTCACAAAGAAAGTGCGTTCTATAGTCCAGTACACTGAATCCCAATCGCTATTGAATGACAAGTGGTTTCTTTAAGTATAGACATCAGCAGGAGAGATATGGTAAAATGGCGACTCACAACCTTCTGGGCATGCTGACGGTGCCACCCTGATGCGTTTTGTCACTCTGTACAACGACTTCCACATAGGGACTAATCCCTATCTGGGTTTGTCCAGCCCCCTGACTTTCAGCTCCGCCACACTGGCTGCTCTAAATAGGCTCCCACTGCCTCCCAAATGTGTGACAAAGGTATCCAAGAGGGCTGCTGGAGCGTCAGCACCTTGCTAAATCAGGAAATGCTTTGCAGTAATTGAGAAGATGAAAAATATTCTCTGAATTGCGCTCATGCAATTAAGTGGAAGTGACCTTCTGTGTTCCATAAGCAGCTGCTCAACGCAGAAACCAGAAGCTAGCAGCAATCACTGTAGTAGCAGTGCCTACTACAGTGATTTCCAACTTCCACGGAGATCTTCCAGGTATAACACATCCATACTTACATTGGTCAAAGCTGGACCAATCTAACTATGCATAGCTAAAATGCATACTGGGAATTCTGTGTTCAGTAGGTTGCAGGGCAGTTGCTCGACACAGGAACCAGAAGCTAGCAGTAATCACTGTAGCAGCAGTGCCTACTACAGTGATTTCCAACTTCCACAGAGATCTTCCAGGTATAACATATGCATACTTACATTGGTCCAAGCTGGACCAATCTAACTATGCATAGCTAAAATGCATACTGGGAATTCTGTGTTCAGTAGGCAGCGGGGCAGCTGCTCAACGCAGGAACCAGAAGCTAGCAGCAATCACTGTAGTAGCATTGCTTCTACAGTGATTTCCAACTTCCACGGAGATCTTCCCGGTATAACACATGCATACTTACATTGATCCAAGCTGGACCAATCTAACTTTGCATAGCTAAAATGCATACTGGGAATTCTGTGTTCAGGAGGCAGCAGGGCAGCTGCTGTACGCAGGAACCAGAAGCTAGCAGCAATCACTGTAGTAGCAGTGCCTACTACAGTGATTTCCAACTTCCATGCTAAAATGCATACTGGGAATTCAGCTGTAAAATACTAGTGAAGAGAATTTATCATACTGGCAAGGCAGCATTCATAGTGAAAGTAATGCTATTGTGATAAAATAAAATACACAGGAATTTAGAAATAGGTTATACAATGCTTGCTACAAGAGGTTGGGAACCTAGCAAACAAAAAGCTGGAAGCCAGCCTCCGGACAACCCCTCTTCTACCAAGCTTGCTTCAGTGTTTTGAGCAAGCAGTACATGGAGCCAAACAGAGGGTCAAGACACGCTCAACATTCAATGTGAAGACCAATGTTGAGGGAATACAGCATCAGCTTATATCTAGGAGAGACAGATAATCTGCTCAGTAATGATACACACTGCGCCATCCAGCACCAAGAAAAGGTCATTAGACCTTTTGCAGGGAGAGTTCCCTAACCCCAACATCTCACAGGTGAAAGTCCTGATGGGCTTAGGTGGTGTCCAACGGAGATCAGGTCAGAATATTGACTCACAAAAGGAACCCCTGACCATCAGTTCCAAAGAACCAGGTGGAAGACCCAAGCATGGAAAAAACATCTGTCACAGAAGTCCTTTCCTAAGCTGTAGGTATGCAGCCAGAGTGCTTTACAAATATGAAAAGAAATCATTCCCACATGAGACATAAGTAGAAATGCTTGTAACAAACCATCATAACTAAAGTACAAGGCTTTATAAATGGAGTACCTACCCCTGTTCTAGTGGGATCCTCTCTGAAGCTAGCTTCATGCCTGTACGGCTGTGCAGTCTGTGATTTCCACAGACACAAAAGCCCATTCATTTGAATGGGCTGCCGTGCCCCACAGGGAAAGAAGTCCCTACAGTATTTTTTAAATCCCAGCCCGCACGGTAACCAAAGTTCCCAGTATGGGTGTGATTTCAAGTGCAGGCAGCGTGCCATTAGGAATAATGGGTCCCGTATTTTCCTTTGTGGGTGGTTGCGGCTGTTGATGTGGGTACCGCACAGATATAAACCGAGTCTGAGGGATTTTACCCATTCTTACATGGTTTGACACACAAAGTCTCTGAACCCAGAAAGTGATCCATGGCAAACTAACACAGTACACAAAAGTCAAGAATGCACCCCAATGCAGAGGCCAGTGCCCAGAGGTCACATTCAAGGCCAACCCCACAATCCTTCAAACCAGCAAGGCCCACGTACAGCCACCAAAAGTATTGCTGAGGCCAGAGAACAGTTCAAGCAACAACGTGGAAAACAATTAAAACCAGAGGAAAAAACCATCAGCAGTGCCATGAGAATCTCCGTTGAAGTCACTAAGGGACAACTATTATGAGGATAGAAGACTAGCATAAAAAAATTATACTTTTTTTTTTCCAGTAGAGCTGAAAGAAAAAGTGCCCAACCTCTTGGAATACTAGCAAAACTGAAACATGCTGGGTAGAAAGGGGGTTATACATGGGCTAGCTTAAAAACTTCTCTGTTTGTGAGCGGAATGCTCAATATAGAAATTCTGAATCTGCGGCCTACAGATGGTTGGAATAACCATCTGTAGGCCGCAGATTCAGAATTTCTATATTCTTCAATAAATGATGGAGAAATGTAATTCTGTGGACTGCATATATTTGTATTATGGTGTATGCAAAAAAAAAAAATTATACTTTAGGCTGGGTTCCCTGCAACAATGTAAACTGTCATCTTCTGTTCTCGGCATGTATCCCACCACTCCACAACACTTTACATGCAAGTAGAAGAAGAAGCAAAGCACCCATTGCACTATTCCATTCCCTTAGGCTCCATGCACACGGGGCATTTTGATAATGCTGGTAACGTTAGCTGTGTAAAGTCATGTTAAACACGTGAGTTTCTTCAGCATTTTGTAGCATTTTTGTATTGGCGTTTCGACACATTTTTCAGCGCTAGAGCATTTTTACAGCTAAAAACTCCGCTGGGGTTTTTTCCAGCCAAAAAACGTTGATTACAGTCTATGTGTGCATGGACACATAGGATAACATGCTGGGGGGTTTACTGGCTATAGAAAAAAAAACACCAAAAGCCAAAAACAGCTGCTGTAAAAACGTCCAGTGTGCATGAGGACTTACTCCCCCCATGTAGTTCCTATGTTAAAGAAACATTAAAGACTGCAGGCAAGCTGAAAGTGCCTACTGTCACGACTATATTCATGTTCTGACTTAAAACTAAATTCAAAACCAAAGGAAAATACTTTTTTAGCTCACCAGTCCTTAGATGTGGCAGCTGCATTAAAGGCATTATAAACCTTCCCACCTGCACCTTGTGTTTTTCACCAGCATACGATGTGCATTGATCACAAGGTTTCATGGTGTCATTTATTGCCTTGTACACACGGACTGTAGTAGAGTAAAATCTTCACATTTCTGTGTCAGGTGTTTCTGTTTGTGTTTAACAGCCTCCCACCCGCCATATAGTAAAATGACGGACGCAAGGCGGTTCTCTCGTTCTGGGAGGACGTCATATGACGTCCTCCCATTCTAACCGCGCATGCGCAGCTCCCTCGGACACAGCGGATCACCGATCCACGGAAAGAGCCGAAGCTGTCGGCTCGGTCATGTGATCAGCGGTGTCCAATCACAGCTGGTCACATGTAAACAGGGAAATGACGGTTATCGGCATTTCTCTCCTCACGAGCTGTCACGCTGACAGCTCGAGAGGAGAGGAGAGCCGGTAATTGGCATTCCTCGGAGGGGAAATGTACACTGATCATCAGAGCACTGATGATCAGTGTGCCCTGATGATCTGTGTAGCCCCAGCAGCACCACCTGTCAGTGTCCATTAGTGCCGGCACTGTGCTCATCCATGCCACCTGCCAGTGTCACATCAGTGCCACATTTCAGTGCCCATCAGAGCTGCCTTTCAGTGTCACCCATCAGTGCCAGTCAGTGCCACATATCAGTGTTGCCAATCAGTGCCGCCTATCAGTGCCGCCTATCAGTGCCGCCTATCAGTGCCGCCTATCAGTGCCATCAGTGCCGCCTCAGTGCCGCCTATCAGTGCCAGTCAGTGCCGCCTATCAGTGCCAGTCAGTGCCGCCTATCAGTGCCAGTCAGTGCCGCCTATCAGTGCCAGTCAGTGCCGCCTATCAGTGCCAGTCAGTGCCGCCTATCAGTGCCAGTCAGTGCCGCCTATCAGTGCCAGTCAGTGCCGCCTATCAGTGCCAGTCAGTGCCGCCTATCAGTGCCAGTCAGTGCCGCCTATCAGTGCCAGTCAGTGCCAGTGCCAGTCAGTGCCGCCTATCAGTGCCAGTCAGTGATGCCTGTCAATGCCCATCAGTGCCACCTACCAGTGCCTCCTCATCAGTGCCACCTATCAGTGTCCATCAGTGCAGCCTTATTAGTGCACATCAGTGAAGGAGAAAAATCACTTATTTACAAAATTGTATAACAAAAACTAAGAAAAAACTTTTTTTTTTCAAAATTTTCTGTGGTTTTTGGTTTAAGAAAAAAATAAAAACCCAGAGGTGATTAAATACCACCAAAATAAAGCTCTGTCACAAAAAAAGATACAAAATTCATATGGGTACAGTGTTGCATGACCACGCAATTGTCAAAGTGCAACAGCACTGGAAATTGACCTAGGCAGGAAGGGGGTATAAGTGCCCTGTAGGCTAGTGTTTAAACAAGAGGCATGCTGCATAGCACTGCACAGCATATTGCATGACCTATGTCTGTAGTGTGAAAATTGACATTTCCTGTGAAGAAACTATATATCCCACAATCCCTGGGTCTAGGGTTCTGCAGGTGAGAGCTAAACAGTTATCAGATCTGACACAGATATAAAGGGGCAGAGCAATTAATATTCACCATGCAGTTTCACATCATATACACATGACATTTGTGAAGCAACACTGAGAAAATGGTGAATCATGCACAGGACGCTGTGTAACACGGAACAAGAAGCTAACTGTCCTTTTAATAAAATGGACAAGGGAATTGATTGGCCAAGACACTACAGCACAAAATGTTAGCCCATCATTACAAGGTAAGGTAATCAAACAAAATAAAGAATATAACTATACTAACACCTAGGTAAAACAACGAAAACATCTAAAAGTGTACAATGCCTTTAATTTTCTTTGTTTTAGGCTTTCCCTCATACCCATTGACATCACCTGGTGACCCTGCTAGCTGTTGCCACTTTTGGACAGCACTACAGAACACCTCCCCATTTCACTAAAGCCGATCTAAACCCTAACTGGGTGACAATTAGTTTGATAAAGCACTGCGTACTAAAAAAAAAAGGAAAAAGAAAAATCGCCATGTTTTTTCCACTAAATATTTTTTTTTTTTTTTTTTTTTTACAGGTCAGTGATGCTGACCTGTAAAACCTTACAACCTTTCAGCCACCTTTGCTCTACATGTTCATCTACATCAGTGTTTCTCAAACTTTTTACCTTCAAGGAACCCCTGCCAAAAAGTTTGACATCTCGGGAAACCCCTGAAATAATGTTCGTATCTACAGTTCACGGAACATTGGTATGATTAGTGAGCTGTTGATAATATCAATTATTTTTATAAATAGCATTAAATAAAAGAATAAATAATAAAATGCACATATTTACTGTGAAACTCGTGCTTTCTTTTTCTGCAGAGATGCTCCATTCTGGGTCCAACTTGGGATAAACAGTGTGTGGGAGGCAGCAGGGCATGATACAAGGGCTCAGGAGGGAACACTACATGAGGGGAAGCAGGGCACATTACGTGGAGGCAGGGCACATTACGTGGAGGCAGGGCACATTACGTGGAGGCAGGGCACATTACGTGGAGGCAGGGCACATTACGTGGAGGCAGGGCACATTACAGGGGGGCAAGGCAAATTATGTGGGAATAGGACGCATTAAATGGAGGTAGGGCACATTACATGGAGGCAGGGCACATTTTTGGGAACAAGGCACATTACACAAGAGCAGGGCACAATACGTGGGACAGAGCACAGGGCACAATACGTGGGACAGAGCACAGGGCATTACATGGGAATCATTACATGGGACAGAGCACAAGGCACATTACATGGGACAGGGCTCATTACATGGGACAGAGCACACAGGCACATTACATGGGACAGGGCTCATTACATGGGACAGGGGCTCATTACATGAGACAGAGCACAGAGCTCATTACATGGGACAGGGCTCATTACATGGGACAGGGCACAGGGCTCATTACATGGGACAGGGCACATTACATGGGACAGGGCTCATTACATGGGACAGAGCACAGGGCACATTACATGGGACATGGTACATTGCACAGGGCAAAACACAGAGCATATTACATGGGACAGACTGTTGGGCACAGTGTGTGGGCCACGGCTGGGCACACTACTGTACCGGGTTCCTTCTTCTTCTACCCGGCTTCAGAAGCGGCTTTCAACAGTCCTCCAATGGTGCGCTATTCCCCGCTGGCCCTTGCTCCTCTCCATCCCAGATGATGTCACATACAAGCACCCGAGATGGACAAGAGGGGCCGGCGGGGAATAGCATGCTACAGCCAATAGTATGCCAGCCGCTTCCCTACACATGTCCATGCAATCTACCTGTCAGCTGCCTGCGACTGACAGGTAGATCGATGCGGAACCCCAGTTGAGAAACACTGATCTACATGTTCTTGCTCCCGATTTGGTAGCATATTACTGCTATGGGTCAGTTTTCTGACCATGACAGCAGTGGACCATGACTGAACAGCAAAAACCTGAGTAGGGGCTGGAGGAAGCTTTCCATTCTTCATTGAGGCTCACCCGTGCTGCTGCTGCCTGGGGGGAGTCTGTAGCTGTGGCCAGGGATCGATCTAACTGCCCTGCTCACCTCTGCCCCCTTCTCCTTGCTAAAAGAAGAGGCACTGGGAAGTGGGTAGGGGGTGGAACCAAGTGACAATGCTTGGAGGTGGGTAGGGGACAGAGATGAGAAGTGACTCAAAAGAGGGGAATTCCTGCAACTATTTTTTGAGAAAAAAAGCCCTGGTGCCTCATATCAGTGGGAGGAAGGGGAAGTTCCGCTTTAAGGACTGGCACCTTTCGGGAGCGGGTACCCAAAATTGACAGGTTCCTGCTCCCACTTCCGCTGCGATCGCCTAGGCCAGTGGTCTCCAAACTGCGGCCCATTGCTAGCCTTTATCTGGCCCCTGGGGACTATTCCTCCCACTGATATGAGGCACCAGGGCTTTTTTTCTCAAAAAAAATAGCTGCAGGAACTCCCCCCTTTTGAGTCACTTCTCATCTCTGTCCCCTACCCACCTCCAAGCATTTTCACTTGGTTCCACCCCCTACCCACTTCCCAGTACCTCTCCTTCTAGATGCATAGCCAAGTATCATTTTGTGGTGCTAAATAATTTACTTGGAAATTGTTAATAACAAGAAAAGCAGAAAAATAGATTCCCCATTGCCAGACGCAGAGCCCCACCTTCTTACCCAGCAACAATACATTCCTCCAGCAACAATGGACTCCCAAAACAAAATACCACCCCAGGAACAATAGACTCCCAGCAGCTACAACAGATCTCCCAGCAGCCAGCATCAGTAGGCTCTCCAGGAACCAGCAACAATAGACACCTCCCTCAACAATAGATCCCTTCCAGCAACAGTTGACCCCCAGCAACAATAAATCCCCCAGCAGCAACAATAGACCACCACATAAAAATACATACCCTTCAGGGACAATAGATCCCCCAATAGCCAGCAATATTAGACCAGCACACCCAAGCACCCCTTGCCATTACAAACATTTAGTGCTGGGGGTTCCGGAACTGCGCTCCCCCGCATTCCCGCTAAAAAAAAAGTCCTGCGAGGCACTATTCCTGATGGGGCAGTATTCTTCCCACTAATATCAATGATGGGGCACCATTCCTCACACCAACACCAATGATAGCACACTATTCCTTCCACTGATACCAATGATGGTATACTATTCCTTCCACTGATACCAATGATGGAGTACTGGTGTTCCCAGTAATACACTATTCTTCCTCCTCCTCACCAATGGCACTATGTCACTGACTACTAACCCTGAGGCAAGGTTTATTCTCACTGATGCTAGGCCCAGGAAATGTTCTACCCCCTTTGGCCCCCATCCAGCCCCCCTAAAGTCTGAAGGACAGTAAACTGGCCCTTTGTTTATAAAGTTTAGAGACCCGTGGCTTAGGCGATCGGAAGCAGAAGTTGTCCTTCTCCCCTTCCCTCCCCATAGTCTTTTGGGACACGTGACAGGTCCCAGAAGACTTGGGGCCATTCACAAAGCACATCTCTACTCGCTCATGAACAATGAGCACCCGGCTGTGAAGCCACAGGCTGTCACAGCCAGGTGCCCACACTGAAGATGCCGGTGCCAGGAACACAGGGCAGCCTGTGAAACTGGCTGCAGGAAAGGGGGGGGGGGGGGGACACCGTGAGATCGAGGGACAGGTAAGTGTCCATTTTGCCCCCCCATCCCCGTAGTCTTCTGGGACACGTGACAGGTCCCAGAAGACTATGGAACCATTCACAAAGTGCAGCACTAATTGCGCATGCGCAGTGGGCACCCGGCTGTAAAGCCGCAAGCTGTCACAGACAGGTGCCCACACTGAAGATGCAGGTGTCAAGGAGACAGGACCAGTGTAAGAACACCACGGGATTGAGGGACAGGTGAGTGTCCGTCTTTTAAAAAAGTCAGCAGCTACAGTTTTTGTAGCTGATGACTTTTATTTTTTTTTTATTTTCACTGGAAGGCCGCTTTAAGCAGGCATTTTCACTATGTGTATCAAAACGTCAGTCAACGCAAACCACAATTACAAAATTATAAATAAAAGCAAAGTGCACTACCCCTGTACCAGCTGCTAGGCACCTAATGGAATTTCAATACCAATCAGTAATCAAATAAACAAATGTAAGTAGTGCAGCTCTAGCATTAAATCACTATACACCATTTATCGTGTATGGTGACGAAACACGTAGGGATGACATCTCAACGCTTGTTTGAAGGTGGAAGTGTGGTAACCTATAGTGGTTTGCGGCGATATTTATTTATTTTATTTATTACAGGTACTTATATAGTGCCGTCAATTTACGCAGCGCTTTACATACATATATTGTACATTCACATCAGTCCCTAACCATCACGGGGCATACAATCTAAACTCCCTAAATGACATTCATACATACACCTTCCATAGCCAATTTAGACAGGATCCAATTAACCTACCAGCATGTCTTTGGAGTGTGGGAGGAAACCTCAGTACATGGACAAAACCCACACAGGCACAGGGAGAACATGCAAACTCTAGGCAGGTGGTGCCATGGTTGGGATTCAAACCAACAACCCTAGCACTGCCAGACGGAAGTGCTATAAAACCCACACAGGCACAGGGAGAACATGCAAACTCCAGGCAGCTGGTGCCATGGTTGGGATTCGAACCAACAACCCTAGCAATACCAGGCGGAAGTGCTAACCATTTAGCCACTGTGCTGCCCATATTGCACAAGACTGCCAAGTCTGAG